GAAATCAATATATATAAAATTTGTGTAAGAGAAGGAGGCTTACGTGACTTGAGTGAGTGACGGGTGTTGTTTGACCCATTGTAGGAACCGTGTTAGAGTCCGTCGATAATGGATCTACGGCAGAAGGTTGGACGGATCGATGACTCTTTGATTTTTGTTTCTGTAGATTAGAAATCGAAAAGAAATAGGTATAAGAATCCAGAGTGAAGCAGTTATAAACAGAAAAATGAACGAGATAATGAGAAATCGAAAAGAACCTTCAATTTTTTCGAAGATGAAGTAATGGTGGTCGGTTGTTTACGCTTTCTGACGAGGGTCGATGGATCGGACTCATCAGAGGACTCCCAGTCCTTCTCCTTCTCTTTCTCGACAATGACGACCTTAGAGGACTTCGAAACTGTCGAAAAAGAAGACAATTATCTTATAATATCAAGAATTAAAAATATCTAGAAAAGGCAGTAAAATCTCACCAAAAGGTGATGGAGTCAAAATCGTGACTCGATCGATATGTACAAGCCAGGGAGGATGAAGAATTTGAGGGAGGTGTAAGTAAGGGAAATAAGATAATTTCGATACAGAAATATCTTTGTTTTTTGGTTTGGGACGGAGTGTTTCTTTTAAGGTTCTTAATTCTCGAACCCATTTGGGATGAGTTAAAGGTTTGGCAATCCCAAAGGGTGCTGTAGGAAAAGTGGGAAGGTGATCGGGACAATACATTTCAAAAGGGGTTTTTCCTAAGGGATTGACTATTTTGTGGTTCGATCGATTAGTGGTTGTTTTATGGGATAAGGAAATAACAACATCATAGAAGGTCGATTCTAATTTGAATGGGTTGTAACATATTTGATAAAAGTTCTCGAATCGAGATATTTGAAGACAGTGGAAGTGTGTACCTTTCTTCGCTTTCGATTTGTCCTGCAACACAAGAGAAGGATGAGTAGTCAATTTTTGTCGAACTTCGTCAAAAGTAGAATGATTACTCGAGAATCAATCGGCCCACCATTGAGAGAAACCCACAATTGATAAATAGTTTGATTCAAAGGCATAGGGATAAAAAAGTAGTGGGGTTTGTGGTAGTAGTTTGACCAGCTCCCGTCCGATTGTCGATTCACTTAACTTGGACCTCGGGGAGGTATTAAGGGGAAAAAAGGGTAAGGATTGGCTCAAACCAAATTGTCTCGAGAAAAGTTGGGGGTAGTAAGTGATAAACTTAAAGTCCTTAGATTGGAAACCCGATACTAGTACATCCTGAGTTAAATAATTACTCCATACATCGACCAGCTCTGATTGCAACCCAGGAGTTAAAGCAGGGAATTTTGACTTAAACCAAATTGGCCCCCTAAGTTGGTCACTTATTCGTCCAAGATGTATGGTAAAAGGAGCCAAAGTTGAATCGAAATTAAACCTAGTTAACAAAAAGTTAAGGTATCTACAATAAGCCGCTTCGTCGGGTTTGTGGTGAGGATGGCGAGAAGACAATCGGGCACCTTCTATATTTACACTTGGGGGGATGGTGGAAGTTGGGGGAAGGATACTCTCAAAAATCGAATTCAGCCATAACTGTACAAACCAAATAGGGCCAGAAAAATTTCCCGAAGCTTTAGGAGTACTCAAAATTTCGACAACCTCATTAAAAGCAGTATACACATGTGCTAGCAAAAGTTTGGCTAAACATATTCTAGGTTGGCCGATGTGAAGGAGATATGCAAGGTTAAACAGATGGGAGGAAATTTGGATCGATTGGGGGCAGAAAACATGGGTACACAACCAGTACACCAAAAAGGCTATGTGCTCTTCATCAGTTACAGCTTTTGATTCGTCATCGACGAAATGCTCTTCGAGGAAATGCCCATAGGCTTTCGATTCCCAATCGATTTTGGACCTTAGAGAATTATCCGAAAGATATGCACCCTTAAAATATCTTTCCCCTGTAGGTTTTAATCCAGTAATGGCTGCGACTTCGAAAAGGGTGGGCGAAAGGGGACCGCAAGGTAATTCCAAATCATGTAATTCCTTATTCCACAAATGAACAGCAGACAAGAACATAGCCATATCCAAATGAGACAAGTCACATCGGGACCAGTGCAAGAAATCAAAAATTCCCACGTCTCTCCAATGGTTTCCGAATTTTGTCTTAACCCTATCGAACCATCTAATGAACAAAGGTTTTTTGGAGGGAGGACCCGTTCGGTATACTCTAGAGACCATATTCAAAAAATCAGTCCGAACTTCAGGTTGGTGAATAAGAGCTGGGCTATTTGAGAGGTTGAAGGGAGAAAAAGTTCCACTACTAGAACGAATAGGACCCCCAAAAGCAAAATTAACACCATCAGCAGTGTAAGGAATGAGTACCTGCGTATCAGCAATTTTCTGAGAAGCTTCCTCCATCAGAGGGACTGGAGCAAACTTCTGATTGTTGATCTCCAGCAGGTTAGATGCCAATGAGGTAAGGGGTGGAGCGGAAAAGTCAGAAGACTTGGAAGAAGTTTCCATTTCAGTAATTGGTAGATTAGAGGAAAACAAGGTAAGAGATGGAGGCGCAAGGATGAAGACAAGAGCTCAAGGAAGAAGATGAAGTTGCAAAGGGATAAAGGTTCGCGTAAAAAACCAGAGTAAAAAACCAATAGAGAGTTTAAAGGGAAAATCGCCTAGGGGGCTGGAAATGACGGAGGTGAAAGGTAATTAATGTAGCGTGTACAGTAAGGCAGCAGACTGACGCGATGGCGACATAAAGCAAAAGGAAACCTGAAAACCCTGTAAACCCTAGAACCCCAAAAACCCTAAACCCTAAGTTTTGTGGGCCTCCAACAAGCAAAGGCGGGAATCGTGTTGAAAGAATATAAACAGAAACTATTTATATTCTTCAGAGGGGGTATTTTGTTAGTAGGAAATCAAGAAAAGCGATCGAAAAATGAAGGAAAGAAAAATCGAGAAACATGTGATTGATCGATAAAGCGAAGAGGTGGATGAGAAACCATTCGATGTCCAATTAGAAGGGCGTGGCACACAAAATCGAAAGTTAGAGTCGGAATCGAAGGAATAATAGTTAAAAGTTTATTGTGGAACAAACCAAGAAATTAGAAGTATATGATGCTAAGGTTAAAAGGAATCAAAAGTAATTCAAAGTTCTCGATAAAATCGAAATCGAGGGGAAGGCTAACCTACGTGGATATCGAAACCCTGGCCAAATTGTGAAGGGAAGAACAGTCAAGCGCACATATGGGAAGCAGTTTCTAAACCATGGTAGAAGTCGAAGATCGTGAGAACGTGGGTACAGTATTGAAACCATAGAAGATAAACTGCAACACGCACGTAGAACGTGGTAGAAGTTTTGTTAACTGCTCCTGGAAGGCTTGAATGATGCCCTATAAATAGAGCAAAGGAGGAAGGAATAGGGAGCAGAAAATTGGCAGAGAACAGAATCAGTAGTGAGAAGTCTACCGGAGAATGACGAACACCATGAAGCTTCTGGCAATCTGGATTTCCATGCTCATCGAGTACCTTTACCGCTTTCTTTACTTTCCTTGGTAATTTATTTTGATGCACCTTATATTCAGCAATTTTATGTTTTTGTACTTTTGATTCCTTATCATTTCAATTCAATGAAAGTTAAGTTTCCGCGTTTAAGTTTCCTTGTCCTTTAACATTGATGCAATTTCGATTTCCAGTTATTTACACTTACCGCGAATTTCGATTTCCTGTATATTTTCTACAATCTTGACTCCTTGCCATTTACATTTCCGTTCTTTCGATTCCTTGTCATTTACATTTAACGTGCTTTTAAGGTTTCCGCATTTTACGTGTCTCAGCAATTTAGTATTCTGTATTGCTTTTCGATTCGACATTTTATTGCTTTCTACATCTTAAATACAAAACACCAAAAAAGTAGCATTTTCGATACTTGGTAAGGTTCGATCCTCATACGCATTTCGATTGAAAATCACTTTGCTAGCCTAAGTAAAAAGAATTTACGTGGTAGAATTTTGGTTAGTATCAAAACATTTTGAGAGTCGAAATCAATCGAAATTCCACCGAAACAATTATTATGAAAAATATCATCAAATAATTTAATTTATATAATTTAATTAATAATATATTTGAGAATCAAATTGACTAAGTTTCTCTCAAATAATCAGTGCCGACTTATTTGAAAACATGTTTATATTATTTCAATAATCAATAATGCATTCGAACACCTAATTCGAAAATGAAATATATTAATAAGAGGTAAAATAGGATTTATATTATTTCTGGGAATACAGACAGAAACTATGGAGGTAGATAAAGAAACAGCCAAATTATAACAAGAAACAAGCGTGGGCAGAAATTGGCCCAACCCAATCGAGGCCCATCTATTTACAAACTGGAATAGGCATTCGGAATAAACTTTGTGCTCCCATCCTCTCCTAGGGTAACCACGACGACGCTACTAGAGCAAGTGCGGCCTCTTTTTCAGGTTCGCGTCTATCTCTCCCTTTTCAGGTTCGCTTCTATCTCTCTCCCTCCTTCGATTTTCCTGCTCTCTATATTTATCGTTCTCATTTGCATTTCTACCCTTTTTCAAACCCTAGTCTCTATTCGATTCTGTACCTTCGCCACTGCCAGTGACGGTGGCGCACGACAGAATCGTTTTCGCTCTTCTGATTTACCAAATCCCGAATCTTGTTTGTTCCGATCGTTTATATACCTGTGATACTATTTTCAGTTATATTGATGCTCACTTCGTGATCTTATCTGCTATTTAAATGAGTTTCACTTCATGTATATTCAATTATATGTAAATCTGTTTCTCATTTTAATCTTGTCAGACTTTGCCGTTTTAGTTGTTTCCTCATATGAATGTATTCTCTTTAAATTTATTCCAATCCCATGAACTAGAATCCGGTGTGTTGAAAATTTTTTAGGGTTCGTTTTATTTGTTTTTTTGGGTTAAATTTTTGTTGTTCTTGTTTGTCACACTTTATTTGTATTTGAACAGGGTTGTTATCTGAGTCGTCAATATGACATCGTTCTTGAAGCCTGAGAATGCTCTCAAAAGGGCTGAAGGTTAGTTAAAGAAAATTATATTATTACGTACTGTTTGTGTTTGTGATTGATGTCTTTTTTACACTTTGCTTAAAATCTCTTTTTTGTTTTTATATGTAAAATGACAATGATGTAATTGACTGATTGTGAAAATTTCAATAACATGCAGAGTTGATCAACGTTGGGCAGAAGCAGGATGCTTTGCAGACTCTTCATGACCTCATTACCTCAAAGAGATATAGAGCATGGCAAAAGACACTTGAAAGGATTAGGTTCAAGTATGTTGAACTTTGTGTGGACATGCGCAAAGGACGGTTTGCTAAAGATGGGCTTATTCAATACAGAATAATTTGTCAACAGGTCAATGATAGTTCACTTGAAGAGGTTATTAAACACTTTATGCACCTCTTGAGAAAGCTGAACAAGCCCGAAGCCAAGCACAGGCAAGCACTTGATGTCGATGATTTAGAGGCTGATAAAAGGCCGGAGGATTTGATGTTGAGCTATGTCAGTGGGGAGAAAGGAAAGGACAGATCTGATCGAGAGCTTGTTACCCTATGGTTTAAATTTCTTTGGGAGACATACAGGACAGTGTTAGAATCGCGCAGCGGAATGTTCGCGTGGTCGGACAAAAACCAAGAGGGGGGGTGAATTGGTTTCTTAATAAAAATTAGGTTTTCAAAATTTTCCCCAAATTTTACCGATTAAAAGCTGCGTAAATGTAAATAGAGAAGAGTAGAGAAGATTACACGAGTAGGTTTATACTTGGTTCGGATCAAAAGACCCTACGTCCAGTTGCTAATCACTCAAAAGAGGATTAACGCTGTCACTAAGAACAAAGTTGTTACAACACAAATTATAATGAAAAAGATAAAGTTAAAGATAAAACCTCTCTTGAAATCCACAAGAGATGATAAACAGACTTTCCCTGGAGACGGACACAGCACACAATCCACTAAGAACTCCACTTAGTGATTCTTATCGCTTCTAGCCTCACACCAAGTTTCCAAAAGCCCCGAAGAACGACTTTCCCGGAGACGACACGACACTCAATCCACTAAGAACTCCACTTAGTGATTCTTATCGCTTCTAGCCTCACACCAGGTTCAAAGCCCCTTTCCTTGCAACAAACAGTTCTCCGGCACTCACAGACACTTAACTTTTGTATGGAAAGAGTTGTTCTTCGATTGTTCATTGTTTCGAGTGCTAAAGCGAGTTTAAGTAGGGAAATTAGGGTTTAGGAATTGAGGATTTCGAAACTAGGGTTCTTGGTAATTGGGTTTTCGAAAATAGGGTTAATTTGAAATTTAAAAACAAAAACAGATTGAAATAATCGATTAAATGGAGTTTTAATCGATTAAAACAGAAGCCAAATACGCAGAACCCAATCCTCTCTGGTTTAATCGATTATTTGGTGAAATAATCGATTATTTGACCTTTTAATCGATTATTTTGATGTTTTAATCGATTAAAACGGTGAGTATATCTTGAAAATGGTTTTCTCATCTGTTTTAATCGATTATTTCCTATATAATCGATTAAGCCGAGCACTGCATGATAAATTTGAGCATTTTGAAGCTTCTAAGTTACGGACTATGTACAGGCTATCTTAGACTCTATAATTACGAGACTCAATCAAACTAAAAGCAGAGTTATTACAATACAGAAATCATCAATCTTCAATCTTCAATACTCTAAGTCTTTAAGCTCTTGGATCATCATCAAAATCAACATTCTTCATGATCATTATTTGCAACATCAAGTCCTTGAATGTTCAACAATCTCCCCTTTTTGATGATGATCAAAATTATCTTTTAAAGCCCTTGTAATAACCTGTTTCATCTGTCATACTAACAAACACATTAAACATACCGGATAACATTTAATATTGAATCATAGGCTTTAAATTTTTCTCCCCTATTTTGATTATATTCAAAAAGAACTACTGCAACATTAATCATAAGAGCTCCCCTCAAAATATGCATAAGTTAGAGAAAGCTCCCCCTCAATCATAGCATAAAAGAAACATCATATTTTACAACATCAAGACAATAACAAAAGAAAATTCATCAATTATCTCTACATTAGACAACTTTAATCGATTATTTCGAGTAAATAATCGATTTTTAGAGGCATTTAATCGATTATTTCACGAGATAATCGATTATTCCGAAGGAGAATACCCTGTTTTGGACGTTTTGAGGAAAAATAATCGATTATCACTTCCGATGATCGATTATTCCGAGAGGCTATATTAAGTTTTTTAAGGTTTTTACACATTATAACCTATGAATATCCTGCATCACGAATTTAATCATAACAATCATCCAAAATCATTCAAATTAAGCGAGAATTTAAGCTATTTCTAGTATCCCTAAGTCTCTTCTAAGATCATAGAATCTATCCTTGGGTAGAGGCTTAGTAAATATATCTGCTAATTGACGTTTAGTGTCTACATACTCTATCTTACGAGTTTTCTTTGCTTGATATTATCTCTTAAAAAGTGATGTCTAATCTCAATATGTTTAGTCCTAGAGTGCATTCTTGGATTTCTAGTTAAGTTGATTGCACTCGTATTATCACACATTAATGGAATGTCATTTAAATATATGCTATAATCCTCTAATTGTTGTTTCATCCACGAAATTTGAGCACAACAACTACCAATTGCAATATATTCAGACTTCGAGTGGTAGATAAAGCAACACATGCTTGTTTCTTAGAATGCCATGATATTAAGGATGAACCTAACAAATGACATGTCCCACTAGTGCTTTTCCTATCAATTTTACATCCACCATAATCGAGCATCGAGAATATCCTAATAAACTAATACAAGCATCGAGACGGATACCACAAGCCAAATCCAGTAGTTCCTTTTAAGTATTTTAAAATATGTTTCTACTGCAATTAAATGAGATTCTTTAGGACAAGCTTGAAATCTAGCACACACAGACGAGAATGCATAATATCGAGTCTACTAGCGAGTTAAGTATAATAGTGATCCTATCATACCTCTATACATAGTTTGATTTACTTCCAAACCTGATTCATCCTTGTCTAAATAGCATGAAGTTCCCATGGGTGTGTTAGCTTCCTTTGAGGTGTCCATACCAAACTTTTTGAGGATCTCTTTGCGGTATTTAGTTTGAGAGATAAAAGTTCCATCTTTAAGTTGCTTGATTTGAAGTCCAAGGAAGAATGTTAATTCTCCCATCATAGACATTTCAAACTCTCCCTGCATAATCTTAGCAAATTCTACACACAAAGAATTATCAGTTGATCCAAAAATAATATCATCAACATATACCTGGACCAATAAGATATGTTCTTTAACTTTCTTAATAAACGAGTGTAGAATCAATTTTTCCTCTTGAAAAATCATTTGCAGTTAGGAAACTACTTAATCTTTCATACTAAGATCTAGGAGCTTGTTTTAACCCATATAATGCTTTCTTTAATTTGTAAATATGATTAGGATTATTAAAATCTTCAAATCCAGGGGTTGCTCTACATACACTTCTTCTTTAATAAAACCATTTAAAAATGCACTCTTTACATCCATTTGATATAGTTTAAATTTCATCATAGATGCGTAAGCAAGAAGTAGGCGTATAGCCTCTAACACTGGCCACAGGAGCATAAGTTTCATCATAATCTATACCTTCCTCCCGACAATAGCCTTTTGCAACAAGTCCGGCTTTATTCTTTGTTATATTACCATCTTCATCAAGCTTATTTACGAATACCCATTTAGTTCCAATAACTTGATGTGACTCTTCTCTTGGGATTAGTTCCCGAGACTTGATTCCTTTCAAATTGGTTAAGTTCTTCTTGCATGGCTATGCACCACTGATCATCTTTAAGTGCTTCCTCAATGTTTTTAGGTTCAATCTGTGACACAAAAGCAGCAGACATACAGAAATTATTCATATTTCTAGTTCTTACCCCTTTTGAGATATCACCTATGATATTGTCCATTGAGAGTCCTCTAGGTGATTGCCATTCTTTTGCTAATTGAGGAGTTTGAGAAGGCACATTATCTTCCAAGTATAATTCATCAAGGGCCTCTCTTATATATTCATCATCACCTGCAAGTCTTTTATTTGACTCAAGAGGATTTCCCCAAGGTCTACAATCTCATCAAAGGCAACATGTATAGATTCTTCTATATTCAAAGTTCTTCTATTAAATACTCTATACGCCTTGCTAGTTAAAGAATAACCTAGAAAAATACCCTCATCGGCTTTTGAATCAAATTTTCCTAGATTGTCCTTTCCATTATTTAGTACAAAACATTTACAACCAAAAATTTTCAAATGTGCAACATTAGGTTTTCTACCATTAAACAATTCATATGGAGTAGATTTCATAATTGACCTAATGAGCATTCTATTTAAAACATAACATGCGGTACTTAACGCATCAGCCCAAAAATATTTAGGAACATTAGATTCATTTAACATAGTTCTTGCAAGTTCCTCTAATGACCTATTTTTCCTTTCAACTACACCATTTTGTTGGGGAGTCCTAGGAGCGAGAAAAGTTATGTAATATACCATTTTCCTCACAATAATTCTCAAACTTTTCATTTTGAAACTCACCACCATGGTCACTTCTTAAAACTTTAATCCTTAGGTCTTTCTCATTTTGTATTTGTTTAGCAAACTTTCTAAAGACCTTAAAAGCTTCACTTTTCATAGTTAGGAAAAATGTCCAAGTGTACCTAGAGAAATCATCAACAATTACAAGACCATAATAATTTCCACCAAAGCTTTTTATCCTAGAAGGTCCAAATAAATCTAAATGTAATAATTCTAGGGGTTTTGAAGTGGAAATCACATTTTTTGATTTAAATGATGATTTAACTTGTTTACCTTTTGGCATGCATCACACAATCTATCTTTTTCAAATTTCAATTTAGGCAATCCAATAACTAAGTCTTTTGATATCAATTTATTCAAATGATGCATGTTTATATGAGCAGCTCTTTTATGCCATAACCAAGGATTCTCTTCCTTAGCAACTAAACATGTTATACTAGATTCATATAAACAATCCAAATCAATCAAATATATGTTGTTATGCCTAATGCCTTTTAATTCTACTATTTGGAATCTACTAAATGTATGGTGCAAAATTTGCTTTCAAAAGTTACCTTGAATCCTTTGTCACACAATTGGCTTATGCTAAGAAGGTTATGTTTTAATCCATCAACAAGAAGCACATCCTTAATCTCCAATGTATTTGCACCACCTATATTTCCAATTCAGAGAATCTTCCCTTTGTTGTTATCCCCATAAGTCACATATCCTTGTTCTTTGGCTTTGAAACTTACAAATTTCGTTTTATCCCCAGTCATATGTTTTGAGCATCCATTATCAAGATACCACATAGACTTCTTTGATTTGGAAGTTTCCTACAAAACAAGAACATAGTAAACTTAGGTCCCCACAACTTTTGGGTCCTTGAGGTTAGAGACATAATAATCTATTTAAAATCTTGCAAAACAATCTATTCTTTGGGTATTTTAAGAAGTTCAAGCAAAGCTTGTTTTTATAGACTATTTTCAAAACTGCTTGGTTTAATTAATCTGTTAAAAGATTCTTTTAATCTGTTAAAAGTGCAGTTTTAATCTGTTAAAACATCTT